GACCCATTGCCTTGCCGTGCTGGGGACCTGTCAGGGGGGAGGTCCGGTCCTTCCTGCTCCCCTCCCCTCCCTTCCCCCCCAACCTGCGTCCCCTCTCCCTGAAACGGTTCTCAGGTCCTTTTCCCCTCCATGTCCCCCCAAGTTGGGGGGGAGGAGGGGGGTGTCAGCAGTTGCTGCTTTCCACTGCCTTTGGGGGGAACTAGACCCCCCCCCCATCTGGGCTCTGCCTGCTTGGGGGGGGGCTGGCAGCCCTTGGCCCCTATTTTCAGGGGGGCACAAGATGGGTTAACCCCTTACCATCCCCTAAAAATAGGGGGGGGTGTGTCTTATTTGCCTTGGTGCATGGGGCCACCACCGTACCCTTATCTCTGCCCTTGGTGCAGCTGATCACCTCGGGGGGGGGGCATGTCCCTACCCCTCCTTTGTGCCTTCTGCTGCCCCCTGTCTAGAGGGGGTGTTTTGGGGGGGCAGCCTGGTCTCAGGGCTGAGCCCCTGGCCACAAATGCCCCCCTCCCACGTGCCTTGGGACACCACAACCGGGTGCTCCCCTGCTCCCAGCCCTGCAAGGGATGTGCCTGGGGAGGGGCTCTTAACTCCTCACCTCCAACCTCGGTTTCTTTGCATGGGTGGGGGGGTGTGTGGTGGTGTCTGGTGCCCCCCATCCCCAGTTACACTGTGTCAGTGGGAGCCACTCCAGTCACCAATAGGGGGGGTCCCCTTCCTCGCAGGGATGGGGGGGGGGAACTATGCACGTCCTCCCCATCCTGCAGCTCCACCAAAAGGACCCCTGTGCCAGCCTTAGCGTGTGTGCCCCCCCCCTAAGCCTTACCCCAGCTCTGGCCGGCTCCTGCTGGCACTGCCCTTCTCTCAATGCTGGGGGCAGGCGTGGTTCCCCCCCAGGCCTGCCTGCACCCCTGTCTCCACCCCCTGCCCCATGGAGGGGGGGTGGGATGGAGGATGCTGTGTCTCCCCTGCCCCCCCACACTGCACCCCCTCCCTGCAGCCTGAGGTTCCCCTGACCCCCGTGGGGTTGGGCTCGTGCCAGGTTGTCCCCCAGCCTCGAGGGGATGGGGACTCTCAGGGAGAGGTTTTTTTTTTGAGGGAATTGCGAGGGGTTTTAGCTCTCCGGTGCTGTCTGGCCGGCTCCTGCTGGCACTGCCCTTCTCTCAATGCTGGGGGCAGGCGTGGTTCCCCCCCAGGCCTGCCTGCACCCCTGTCTCCACCCCCTGCCCCATGGAGGGGGGGTGGGATGGAGGATGCTGTGTCTCCCCTGCCCCCCCAGCCCCTGCCTGCCTCTCCAGGAGGGTTAAACTCAGCACTTTATATTCGACAAGTCAAACGGCACCAGCGAAGCTCACTGCCCAGCGAGCACCCATGGGTGCTACCCGAGGAGCACAGCCCCCATGCTGGGCACCCTTGGGGGGGGGCTGGGGGTTCCAGAGGCAGCAACTAAGGGGGGCTGGGGAGGGCTGGGGGACCAGATCCAAGTGCCTTCATGTGATTAAAAGCTGTCAAACCATCTTGGAAAGGGGTGTCCTGTGTGTGTCTGCATGGGCAGAGGGGCAGAGACCCCCCCCAGGACCCCTAAATAACCCTAGGAAGGAGGAATGCTGGGGGAGCACCCTCAGGCTGCAGGGCTGGGGAGGGGGGGGTCACCGCTTGCCCAGTGCTAAGGGTAAAGCTCCCCACCCTGGCTGCCCTGGTACCCCAATGCCAACCCCTTTCCCTCCTCCTGAAAAAAGGACCCTGGTGCCACGGGGATGGTTGTCCTGCTCCTTAACAAGGGGAGGGGCTGAATTTACCGTGTGAGCTGTGCCCCCCAGCTTTTGGGGCTTACACTGTCCCCCCATCCCTGCAACAAGTGCTCCCTTCCTCAGGGAGCATCAGGCATCAGATGTCCCCTGCAGAGACTGGGGATCACTGTGGGGGGGTGACTTATGACACCTCCTCTCCCCCCAGGCAGCCTGCTGCCAGCATGGAGGCAGTGGGGGTCTCTTAGGTCCCGTCCCCCCCCGTGCCCTCATTGGACTTGTGCCTCCCCTCATTAACGAAGTCTCTGTCCTCCCTGATGGTTGCACTAATTACTGAGTTCATTAGTGGCCCAGCGTGTCCAGCTGGGGGGCCCAAGGAAGGGGAGAGCCCTCTGGGGCTGGCGTGGGGTCCCCCCGACCCTTGTGCCACACTGGCCATCTCAACCCTGGGACTCGGCCACCGAGCAGAGAGCAGCGACCTGGGTGTCACACCCCACCCAAAACTCGGCCACACACTCCCACCGGGGACTCTTCACCCAGGTAAGGATCCCACGGGGGATACTGGTGTGGGGTGCAGGGGGTGGGAGCTGGGTGGCATGATTGGGAGGATTTGGGAGGGCAGGGGAGTAGAGGGCGGCAGCAGCAGAGCCCATCCCTGTGGCATCAGGGCACTTGCCTGGCGCCAGGGTGACGGCCGGGGTGCAGGATGTCCACGGTGCTGGTGGCGAGGTCTGCTGGCTCAGCAGGGCAGCTGAGATAAGGCTGCAGCAATCCTGCAGGGCTGGGGAAGAGATAAGAGCAGGAAGGGGAGGCTCAGGAACGTGCCTGCTGCTGTGACACCCCTCCCTGATCCCATTCCCGGCTTTAGGTACCCCCTGGTCTTCCCCCAAAACCACCTTCAAGGCTGGAAGCCACGGGGCAGGACTCCAGTTCCTTCTCTGCCAACAGCAAGGTACCACCCATTGGGTGGTACCATTGGGGCTGGGGTTTGGTGGCACGGGACAGGGCATAGGGTGGTGGCTTTGGCCCTCTGCACTGTCCCGTGCCCCCAGACCCTAACCCCATCCCTGCACCCCCTTCCCATCCCCAAGGCTGAGGCTGCAGAGCCCCCACCTCCCCAACATGGGGGGGCAAAGCCCATCGGGTAGTGAGCAGGACTTCCAGCTGCGGGGTGGCACAGTGTGGGGACAGTCCCACGGGCAGGGAAGTGATGTACCAGGTAACAGCTGGGGTAGGAGGACAGATGAGGTGGGAAAGGGATGACCCGGGAAGACGATGCTGCATTGCTGGTGGCACCAAAACCCTCATCGCTACGGGCTTTGTGCTCCATGGCTGGGAGAGTTTGGGGCTGTTGGAGACCAGAGAGTGGAGGACAGTGGCAGAGCCCATTCCCGTAGCATCAGGGCATCTCTGTGTTTGTGTCTGACACCCTCCTGGCCTAGCTCAGCCTATTGCTATCACCTCAGGAAACCTGGTTTTTTTGGGAGGAGCAGGCATCAAAAACCCCATCACCATGGGCTCAGTGCCAAGGACCAAGAGGGAAGCAGGCCTGGGCAGGGCAGCAGGTACCACCTTGGGCGTAGCAAACCCGTAGGCAGGGTGCCCTGGTTGCCCTCTGATGTGATAGCACCTGGAAGGGGGCAATTATCCCATGAGTAACGGGGCTCTTCGGGTGCTGGGAAGCCTCGAAGGACCATGGGGACCTTGACTCTGGGCTGTTCCTGCCCTTATATGGTGAATATAGGCTGGGACAGGAAGGGACAAAGGTCTCCTGGGTGGTGGCACCCAAGCACTTTGCCTAGGTACGCTCACCTGTGCCCAGCTCCGCAGGGAAGGTGAGGGGCTTGGGCAGGGGGACGGGCAGGTGGGCATGGAGCGGGGGGATGGGACAGCTCTTCCTACAGCCACCACCGTTCCTGGCACCGGGGTGGCCCGGGGATGGGGCTTGGGGGCCCACCTGTGTCCCACCTTGGGGCTGTGAGGGGGGATGCCACCCCCCCTGGATCTGTGGGACGGGATGTGGGTGCTTTTGGGGCAGTGCAGTGGGACCAGGTGGGGTTTTGTGGGGCTGGGGGAGCAGAGACCTCTCTGTGGGCACTGCTGGCTCTCTCTGCCAGGACACACGAGGGGTCTTTGCCCAACGGCAGCTCCCTAACCCTTCCCTGCCCACTTACTGCCCACTGCCTGGCAGGGCTGGCTGCAGGCAACCTCAGCAGCACCGGGGCTGAGCCCTGGAATACTCATCACCTCTGTGGGGCTGGGCTGTGCCCTCCCTGGTGGGCATGGATCTGGTGGAGGGGTTGAGAGAGGTGGTGGTGGTGGTGGGAGGGGGGCTGGAAGTGGGCAAAGTGTGCTTGCACACATATGTGTGCGTGCAAGGCCACTGGCAGTGGCCATGTCACGCTGTGCCATGTCGTGCCATGCCGTGCCAGGAGCAGGCTGAGCAGGGCTGGTTCCTGCTGGCGCTGGGGAGGAGCAGGGCACTGGGCAGCGGTGTCACCCAGCTGTGGCTGCTGCGCCGGGGACACCCTCAACAGCCCTGCCCCGTGCCTGGGCAAAGGGCAGGGCGCTGGGACACTGGGGCGCTCAGGGGACCCCACTCCTGCCCACCACAGGCCCTGGCACGGAGTCCTGACAGCCCCCGTTAGCCACAGTGCCAAGCCAGGCCAAGGGCTGGGCAGGGGGGGGGTCCCCTTACCCTGTGCAGCTCCGGACGGGGGGTTTATGGCCCGTCCGGCTGCAGACCGGGCAGGGCAGCAGATGGCACAGCAGGCTGGCTCCCTCCCAGCTCTTAATGACATTGCCTGCCATTAATGAGGGTGTTGCCGGTGCCTCGGCAGGTCCCCTTGCCTGCAGCACCCGTCACCATGGTGGAGCTCAGCACCAAAGTCACCAGGACGCTCAACAAGACCACGCCAGGCCTCCAGATATGGCGAATCGAGGTGAGGACGGGGGCACAGCCTGGGCACTTATCGCCCGGGCACCCATCGCCGGGATGTCTGGGGGGACTGTGGGAGGGAAGACCACCCCTCACCCTGCTTTGTGTCCTCAGTGCCTGGGTTTGAGGGTCTCAGTGTGGCACCAGGGTTAAACCCACCCAAGTTTTGGGGCTGGGGGCAGTGGGGTGCGCGGGGCTGGGGCGGGGGCATTCCCTGCCAGGGCTGATGTCTCCCTTCCTTCTGCAGAACATGGAGATGGTGCCAGTGCCCACCAACAGCTACGGCAACTTCTACGAGGGCGATTGCTACGTTCTGCTGTCGGTAGGGCAACCTAGGGTCCCACGGGGGCTTGGGGACGGGCTCTGCTCCAGGGGACGCCGGGGTGCGGGGAGGGGTGTCCCTGGCTGGGGTGTTCTGGGGACATGGGGGCTCTTCTAGCAGGGACCTGTGTCCTGCAGACACGCAAGTCGGGGAGCAGCTTCAGCTACAACATCCACTACTGGCTGGGCAAGGAGTCGAGCCAGGATGAGCAGGGGGCGGCTGCCATCTACACCACCCAGATGGATGAACACCTGGGCACGGTGGCTGTGCAGTACCGTGAGGTCCAGGGCCACGAGAGCGAGACCTTCCGTGCCTACTTCAAGCAGGGACTCATGTAAGTTGGTCATTGCCAGGGACCCGTCCTCACCGTGGGGAGGGGTCTTCCGCATGCCCCCCCACATGGGGATATACCCAGTGGAGATGGGGACAGGCCTGTCCCAGTGGGGTGGGGGAGGCAGGATCTGGAACTGGCCTTGCTCCATCCACCATCCATAAGGGGGGTGTGTGTGGGGTGTCCCCAGATACCTGCCTGCACACAGAGGTGGGAGCGGGACCTCGCTGGAGGGGAAGGGAATGGCCCAGAGCTCACACCATGTCTGTCCCCTGCCAGCTATAAGAAGGGTGGTGTGGCCTCGGGCTTGAAGCATGCGGAGACCAACACCTACAACATTCAGCGCCTGCTGCACGTGAAGGGCAAGAAGAACGTGGTGGCGGGAGAGGTGAGTTATGGGATTTGGAGGGGGTTCCTAGCCACTAGACTCTATGCAGAGATGCTCTTTGAGGTCAGGATTAGGCCAGAGGACCCCATACACAGCTGCCCTCAAGCAGGGGACAGAATGGGTGTGGGGCCACCGCCACATTGCCTCAGGAGCAACCTCACCCCCAAAAGCTTCTCTTGGGGTAGGGAGGAGGAATACAGGCTGGAGGCATCAGCGCTGAGCCAGGGCAGGCAGGGGCTGTGGAGCCAGGGGGACCCAGGCGTCCTGCTGCTTGATGTCCCCCCAATCCCCTCCTGCCACAGGTGGACATGAGCTGGAATAGCTTCAACCGAGGCGATGTCTTCCTGCTGGACCTGGGACAGCTCATCATCCAGTGGAACGGCCCCGAGAGCAACCGAAATGAGAGGCTGAAGGTATAAGCAGGGGGTCCCAGAGTGCCCCGCTGGAGGGAAGCGGGTGACCGTCCACCCCATCCTCGATCTGGGCTGACCCCCTCTCCCCCGGGTGCAGGCGATGACCCTGGCCAAGGATATCCGGGACCGGGAGCGTGGGGGCCGTGCCAAGGTGGGCGTAGTGGATGGGGAGAACGAGGCTGCCTCGCCGGGGCTCATGAAGGTCCTCATGCATGTGCTGGGCGAGAAGAGGAACATCAAGTCAGCCATCCCTGATGACAAAGTGGATCAAAAGCTCAGCTCCTCCCTCAAGCTCTACCAGTGAGTTGCTGGGGGTGGGACACCTGTGGGGGCATTTCACAGGGTGCCAGAGGGACCCAACACCCATTTCTGCTATATCCCACAACTCCCAAACCCACGGACAGCCACCAAGGGGGGTCAAGGCCACTGCAGGGATGGGGACAGGTCCTTTGGATGCAGCTGGAGCAAGAAGGCTCCCTGATGAAAACAGGTTTGATACTTGATGGACAGATGCTCATGCAAGCATGACCTTTGGGTACAGTGGCAGTGTCCCTGGGTGGCCCTGTCACATCTGACACCCCTTTGGCTCTCCTCATGGCCACAAGTGAGCTGCATGGCAGGGCAAGCTCCAAACCAGGTTGCCACCATGGCAGGGCAAGAGGGTCCCTGGATACCATGTCTAGCATGATCAGGGTGGGGAAGGAGCTACGGAGGGGACACCCTTACCCAACTCTGCCACTCCAAGGTGGGGATGGGGAGGGGGTTTTCCAGCCCTGTTTCTAACCCCTCTTCCTCTCTTTTCCCCTGCCAGCGTCTCCAATGAGAGCGGGAACCTGGTCATACAGGAGGTGGCGATTCGACCCCTGACTCAGGACATGCTCCTGCATGAGGTCTGTCACCCATGGGAATTCTTGGGGACACCCTATTTCCTTGGTGGCTTTAACCCTTCAAAAACCGCGGCTTCACCTGCCAAATCGGCTTTTGAAGGGTTAAAGCTGCCCAAATTCCTAATTTCTGCTGTTGTGCCCCCTCCAAGGACTGCTATATCCTTGATCAAGGAGGTATCAAGATCTTCGTGTGGAAGGGCAAGAACGCCAACAAGGAGGAGAAGCAGCAGGCGATGAGCAGGGCGCTGGTGGGTGCTGGTTAGAGATTGGTTATGGGACAGCCTGGCTGCTCCCCAGGGTGCCAGGCACCCTATGACCATGTTCTGGGTCTGAATCCTCCCAGGGCTTCATCAAAGCCAAGAACTACCCAGCCACTACCACTGTGGAGACGGAGAATGATGGGTCCGAGTCAGCCATCTTCAGGCAGCTCTTCCAAAAATGGACTGTCCCCAACCAGACCAGTGGGTTGGGCAAGACCCACACTGTGGGCAAAGTGGGTGAGTGTCCCCCTCCGATGCTGCAGGACTCCCTGGATTGGGAGGGGAGGGGGCTGTGTGGGCCCCTACAGCCAGCAGGATGTGGCTCAACCCTCTGCCCTTCCCTACAGCCAAGGTGGAGCAGGTGAAGTTTGATGCTACCACGCTGCACGCCAAGCCCCAGGTGGCTGCCCAGAAGAAGATGGTGGATGATGGATCTGGGGAGGTTGAGGTAGGGTGGCTGGGGCTGAATATGGACCCTCCTGGGGCACCCTCCCCAGCTGGGGGATGCTGTGGGGTCCAGGGGCTGCAGGGCAGGGGGATGCACGAACCCTAGCAGCAGCACATTCATGTCCCACCAGGTGTGGCGTGTGGAGAACAATGAGCTGGTGCCTGTGGAGAAGAAGTGGCTGGGCCATTTCTTCGGTGGTGATTGCTACCTGATACTCTACACTTATTATGTGGGGCCCAAGGTGAACCGCATCATCTACCTCTGGCAGGTGAGACCTCCAGGTTACTGACCCATGGGTGGGGGACAGGGGTGCCTCCTCGGTTTGGTGTTCCCTCCTCCCAAGAGGGAAAGAGGGGACGTGGTGGGCGCTGAGCCCCTCTCTGCCCTGCCCAGGGCCGCCAAGCCAGCACGGACGAGCTGGCCGCCTCCGCCTACCAAGCAGTCATCCTGGACCAGAAGTACAACAACGAGCCCGTGCAGGTCCGCGTCACCATGGGCAAGGAGCCAGCCCACCTGATGGCCATCTTCAAGGGCAAGATGGTGGTGTACACGGTGAGTGCAGGGTTGTTGAGGCAGGGGGCGGGGAAGTCCACAGGTGCGTGAGCCTGTGGAACCAGTGGTGACCTGCTGTCCCTGTCCCCCCCAGGGTGGCACCTCGCGGGCGGGCAACACGGAGCCCGCACCCTCCACCCGCCTCTTCCAAGTGCACGGTACCGATGAGTACAACACCAAGGCCTTCGAGGTGCCTGTCCGTGCCTCCTCCCTCAACTCCAACGACGTCTTCGTTTTCAAGACCCCCAGCTGCTGCTACCTCTGGTATGGGAAGGTAGGTACCGCCAGGCACCGGGGTGAGTGCTGCCACCCCCAAGAGAAATGTCCCCATGTCCTCCTCCTCAGCCGGAGCTGGTGATGGAGCAGCCATGCTTGCTCGACAGGGCTGCAGCGGGGACGAGCGTGAAATGGGCAAGACTGTGGCTGACATCATCTCCAAGACGGAGAAGCCAGTGATCGCAGAGGGACAGGAGCCAGCTGAGTTCTGGGCGGCCCTGGGGGGCAAGTCCCAGTATGCCAACAGCAAGAGGTACCCGCCCTTTGCTCAGGGGTCCCTTTGTCCCTACCCACCCTCAGGGGTAAGATGGACCACCAGTCTCCAAGTTGGGTGAGGCCCATTCCCACCACCACCACTACTGTTTTCCTTCCCCTGCCAGGCTCCAAGAGGAGAACCAATCTGTGTCCCCCCGTCTTTTTGAGTGCTCCAACAAGACAGGCACCTTCTTGGCCACAGAGATAGTAGACTTCACCCAGGATGATCTGGAGGAGGATGAGGTTTACCTGCTGGACATTTGGGACCAGGTGAGCTTGGGAGGCGCACAAGGCAGGGGTACACCTTAGAACCCACAAAGTGATGTCCTTGAAGGGGGTGGAAGACCTGCAGCAGCCAGAAGTGGTGGGATGGAAGGCTGGAAACCCTCAAGTCCTTGGCCCCATACTGTATTTTTCCAGCCCCCCTGCTCCAGGGATGGCTGAGGATGGACTCCCAGTGCCCTTTCCTATGGACATATCTTGCATGCCCCCAGCCATAGGTCAGGCAACGGCCCCCAGAGGGCCCCTGCCATGTGGTGGACATGGTGACCCTGTTGCAGGTTTTCTTCTGGATCGGGAGAGGTGCCAACCAGGCGGAGAAGGAGGCGGCAGCGGTGATGGCGCAGGAGTACCTGCGGACCCACCCCAGCGGGCGTGACATCAACACCCCCATCATCGTGGTGAAACAGGGCTACGAGCCCCCAACCTTCACCGGCTGGTTCCTGGCTTGGGACCCTTTCAGATGGGATGTGAGTGGTGGAGCGGGGGGAGGCCCTTCACAGATGGGGACCAAGCCTGGATCTGGCCCCGGGGCAGCATCCACAGGGCAGGGGCAGTGATTTGCTGAGGGGCTGAGCACTTTTGTCCTCTCTCCAGGACAAGAAATCCTACGAGGAGCTGAAAGCTGAGCTGGGGGACGAGAGCAGCCTCGGGCAGCTTACCTCAGTAAGTGGCACAGGGAGAGAGGGTGGTGGGGTGGGAGGGGGGCACAGAAAGCCCCTCTGTCCCTTGGCAGGTGCAAGGACACCTCCTCTGGTGAGGGGACACCTACAGCCACTCTGGTGCCTCCATTCCTGGGGACACAGGGCAGCCTCTGATGTGACCCTGTCCTCCCCCTATCCAGATGCTCACGTCCAAGCAAGAGGTCTTCACCTCCACCACCTCCCTCCTCCCCGAGAAACTGGAGACCTTCCCCCTGGACGTGCTGGTGAACACCGCGGCTGAGGACCTGCCACGGGGCGTGGATCCCAGCAGGAAGGAGGTGAGTCAAGGCCAGGGGGGCTGCTGGGAGGTGGGGGGGACACCAGGGAGGGCCCCCAGTTTTAGCTCAGCCTCCTCTCTCCTCCCCCAGTGCCACCTCTCCGACAAGGACTTCCAGGATACCTTCGGCATGGATCGCTTTGCCTTTGCCAAACTGCCCCTGTGGAAACAACAGAAACTCAAGAAGGACAAAGGACTCTTCTAGGGCAAGAGCCTGTGCCCGGGGACAGCCCCACCTTCTTATTTTTATTAAATAAATATATTTGGAGAGCGGAACTGCATCTTCCTCCCTGACGGCTGGGTTTATTCACCCAAGAGACAGGGCACAGGGGGACACGGGTCTTGACGGGGCATCAAGGCCACACGGGCCCTCAGCTCCTTCTCTTCCAGGTCCCTCACCCCAACTCCCTAGGGGGCAATGCACAAGCTGCCCACCCCCTGGGCTGCCCCATCCCACGCTGGTGGCAGCAGCTCGGGGTTAAAGGTCTGATATACAGCTGGAGCCGCTCCCTGCATTATCACCTGAAACTCAGTAAATACCTGCGATAACGAAGGTAGAAGTAATAACCCACAGGCTGAGGGCATGGCCCATGGCAGGGGACAGCACCTACTGGGGACGGTCACCAGGGACAGTGACCAAGGACCACGTGTCCTTTCCCCTGGGGATCTCCCTCCTGGCTTGGGACCCAGGGGGATGGGAGAGGGGCTGGAGGTCCCCGGCAGGGACAGGTCCCCGGCAGGGAAGTGGGAATTTGCATGTGCCAGGAGGCGCTGAGCACTCACACGATGTCCCCGGGCAACTGAGCAAAGTCCCAACGGCAAAGGCAGGGCGGAGGGGTGGTGCCCACCATCTGCAGCGTCCAAGCGGCAGCAGAAATAAGATCCCAAACCAAGAGAGGGTTAATAAAGAGGTTTTAATTTCACAAAAGAAAAAAAAAAAACCAAGAAAAAAAAAAACGGTCTATCTACACATCATTTAAAAAGGGGCAGGGAGGAACCCAAGAGCAAAAACTGTAAAGAATAGAGAGGAACAGGTCTGCTAAAACACAGAGAAAAAGTGCTGCTCCACGTCAACGGTGTAAAGAACCAGAAAGTCGGGGTGCAGGTAGGAACCGGCCACGGCCACCCCACGGCAGGCACGGCTGGAGTCCAGCAGCAGAGCTACAGGAGCAGCAGCTGCCAGGGGTCCCACACCCCTCTTTCTCTCTTTGGCGGGCGATTACAGGAATAATTAGCTCCATTAAAAAGGAAACAAAGCAGACGAGCTCTTCCCAGCATCCCCCCTGCCCCCTCATCCCAAAGCATGGCGCTCCCATGCCCCACACTGGGGTGAACCGCAGCAGGGTGTGCTGGGCTGGACATCAGCCCTTCCTGGGGACGTGGGATGGGAAGGAAGATGCGCAGGCGGTGGGTATCCAGGTGGCAGAGGAGGTGGAAGGAGATGCCGTGGTGACAGGCTCCTCCTGCTCAGCTCCTCGCAGAAGTCTCAGGTTGTGCCAGGAAACCAGTCCTTGCTTTTGCAAAGGCTCTTTGTGCAGCCCCCGCTGACCGGGGGGGGCTCCCCAGGGACCCGTGCACACAAGCTCCAGTTCCCACACTGCTCACCCCCTGGGAGCAGGGGAGTGAATCAATCCCAGTTGTCCCAGTCAAACAAGGAAGGGGTGAGAGGAATGGCAGGATGGGAGCTCCTTGGGTGTACACCCCGCACCGTGCTTGGGGTAAACTGAGCTGACTCGGGAGCGGGTAAATGTTTAACCCCGACTCTGTACATCCCAGGAAGAGCATGGAGCCATTCAGGGCCCGCATCTGAACTTCTCCACCTGCCTTACCCATAGCCCAGGATGGCTGTCCCACCCAGAAGGGACAACCTTGCTGAACCTGCTGCCGTGACAGCCTGAGTGGTGGGGACGTCACAGCTGGTGGGGCAGCATGTCCCTTGAGGATCACACCCCCTCGTCTTCCTCCCAACCACTCTCCCACAGGGAGACAGCCCCCTCTGCAAGGAAGGGGCTCCACGGACACTCCTGCCAGGGGGAAGGTGCAATCGAGCTGCTGTCTACCAAGTGGAAAAAAGAAAAAGCCTAAATTAATCAATAAATATCTCCAATTCTTAATTCTAAATAAGCAAGAACTCTTCATAAATCATAAAACACTGGTTTCAAGCATCAGCTTTTGCACCTTGAGCCAAACAAAAAAAAAGTGGTTTTAAACAAAAGTTAATGCACTGAAAAGTCGGGCAATGTTTGCTTTTATTATAAATTAACTGGAGTGCAGCGCCTTGGAAAAACAACCTTGCCACCCAAGAAAGCAGAGCTGACTTCTGATACCACAGGAACACCGGGTATTTACAGCACTAGCACAGGATGCTGCCCGGGGAAAACAGATTTGCCCTCTGGACCGAGCAGTCCCTTCATCACCTTCACAGGGGTGACCAGCTCAAAGGATAACTCCCCCCTCACCGCCTCGCCCCATCGCCCACAACTCTACCAGAACTAGTATCCACAATAGGAAAGTATAATGCTTTGTAATAAATTAACACAAACACCCACCCGGGCTGCCTCTTACAAGATAAACGCTCTGCTGTGTTTACAACCAAATTTTCACTCCTAGCTCGGAAACCAGAAAGATGTCACCCTGATCGGGTCACCCCCCCTGCCCCGGCTCATCCGACACGTGGACTGGAGGGTCAGTCAGTCTTGTCACCACGCTGGGGTCCCCAGAGTATGTGGTGTGGGGACAAGCACTCACAGCTGCCCACAGAGGTGAGATGAGGCCACCGAGGCAGCACCCCCCTGCCAGGACCAGCTCTAGCATGGAACCACCCACAAAAAGAGGTGCCTGCTGTCTCCTATACCCATGGGTTTGTCTGCTTTGCTTCAGCTGGTTTATTCCTGAGAAACTCCTAACGATAGTTTAAAAAAACCCAGAAACTACCTCAACAGCAAAAAAAGGTGGTTTTTTGTTTGTTTTGGTTTGTTGGTTGTTTTTTTTTTTTTTTTTTTTTTAAAAAAAGAAGTATTTCACCTCTAAAACTCAAGCTGCAAAAATCAGAACTAGAGGCCAAAACAAGAGCAACTACTCTGCTTAACAGCAACACTTTCTCTGAAACGAGTAAATGCCAGCGAAAGGAAACATCTGCCCCTAAGTAAGTGTGAAGGTGCTGAAAAAATGAAGTCCCTGGGATTTCCCCCCCTGCCCTTGCTGAAACAAGCTATAAAAGGAGCATCACGTCTCTAAATCCAATAAAACAAAACACTTCATCCTAACTGTGCTCCGTTAATGCTGAACACGGGCTTTCTGAAAGCTTCTCACCTGGTTTAGTTTCACAGTTTGAGGGCTCTGCCCTCCTTGGAAAGGAGAACAGAGGCACAGCTGCAGTAAAACCCCTCTTGCCCTGGGCTTGGAAAGGAGAACAGAGAGAACAGAGGCACAGCTGCAGTAAAACCCCTTCACCTCTAAAACTCAAGCTGCAAAAATCAGAACTAGAGGCCAAAACAAGAGCAACTACTCTGCTTAACAGCAACACTTTCTCTGAAACGAGTAAATGCCAGCGAAAGGAAACATCTGCCCCTAAGTAAGTGTGAAGGTGCTGAAAAAATGAAGTCCCTGGGATTTCCCCCCCTGCCCTTGCTGAAACAAGCTATAAAAGGAGCATCACGTCTCTAAATCCAATAAAACAAAACACTTCATCCTAACTGTGCTCCGTTAATGCTGAACACGGGCTTTCTGAAAGCTTCTCACCTGGTTTAGTTTCACAGTTTGAGGGCTCCTTGGAAAGGAGAACAGAGAGAACAGAGGCACAGCTGCAGTAAAACCCCTCTTGCCCTGGGGTAGGGGAAGACCAAGGCAAGGCCACGGTCCCACCACAGGGTGATACTTTAGTGCCAAGAGCTCTTCTGCAGCCCCCTTTCCCCACCGCTCCTGTGTCACGACGGCCCAGTCCTGCGCAGATGGGGACCCACCAGAACACTCTCTCCCTCCCAGAAGATGACAAGCCACCGTTGTGTCACCTCTTGCTGCTCTCAAGCCAGCTCCAGGTGCTCCTGGGGTCACACCGAAGCAGCCCCAAGCAACCGAACCTCAGCGCGAAACTCCGCGTGCGCCCAAAGAGAGACCTCTCCTCTCCTCTCCATCCGGTGCTTTATCCAACAGCCTCAGGAAGAAAAATGCAATCAAATAATAGAGCTTGTAAAACCAAAGAAATCACATATATAATCTCACGTCTAAAGGAGGATGACAAGTGAATAGTGTAAAAAACAAAAAAAAACCCACAAAAAAAACCACAACAAAACATCGGAGAGAGCTGCCACCAGGGATGCAATACATTCCACAGCACCGACAGGTCTGTCTCCTGGAACCGTAGGGATAGAGCGGAGCGCTTCCAAACCCAGGAACGTCCAAACACGTCAGCCTGAGCCATTCCAAAACGCCAAAAACCTCAGCGAGATGACCGGCGAGAGCCTACTCAGTGATCCGGGCTTCCAGTGAATATTACTAACACAACACACGCCAGGTTACAGAATCTATTGCTTAAATTGCTCTTGGAGGAAAAAAAAAAAAAAAAAAAAAAGGAAAAAAAAAAAAAGGAAAAAACCAAGTGATATGTAAATCTTCGCCACTCACGTCTCACAGGTGAATGGGCTTTTAAAGTTGAGTCTCTTTTTGCACTTTTTTTTTTTTTCTTAAATCAGTTTATGAGCAGCTGTAGTCTTGTGGCTTGATGCAACTCTTTAAGGCTCCATGCTGACAAAATTATCTGAGGAACAATAAAAACTTCACCACAGGAGGATCGCTCTGGGATGTTAAGGTTTAAACACGTGGTTCAGGCCCAGGACTTGCAGAGATGGTTCAACAAACTGAGCGTCCCATATTTCTACCTTTTGTCTCTTGTTTTTTGGCCCTGAGCTGTTTGTGACTCCTGCGTGGCTGGCACAAGTTCAGAATCTTCCTTGTCCCTCAGGAGGAACAAGGTGTTTTACTCTTCACAGCGGCTGACGAACCGATCTTCCTACTTCCGTGCTAAGTGGCTGTGCATTTTTTTCCGTTTCTAGTAACTCATCGAAGATATCCCTAGGGATAGAGGGAAAGGCCAAGAGTGAAACATACCTACAACAACAAACAGCTAAAAAGACAGCTCTGAGGGCATCAGCAACTGGATTTGCTCCACAAAGGCAAGCGTCAGGGATCCTGGCAGAGAAAGGTGTTTTATCTGGCATCCCTAAGCAAGGCTCCTTGGCTCCCAAAGCACTCTTTTTTTTTTTCTTTTAATTTATTACAATGAATAAGGTCAGTAGTAAGCCTCAGAGAACAGCAACAATGGTGAAAGTACATCCTGGCTGGTAGAAGGACTAGAAGTAACCCAAGACAGTCTGTAATATCCATTATTAGAGCAACCAGTAAAGACAGAAGAAGGGGACAAACTGAGGTACAAAACCCCTTCTTAGGTTCTGTGTGCCTGAAAAGGTATCACTTCTACCTACAAAGCTCATCTTGCCCATGTCCCGAGGTGACCATGGCTGCAGCAACACAACCACTAGGAGCAGGAATAAGGGCATTTACAAGTATCACAGCACCTAAGGAAAAAACCTGAGCTCCATTATGATTCCTGGTGCACAAATGCATAGCTGAGACACTGAATCCCCTTCTTAAAAGATTATTTCATGCATCTTATTAAACCCCTATGTATTAGTGAAATACAATTCCATGCCTCTGAATGCAGAGCACTTCAATTCTGTCATTCTTGCAGATAATTCCGACTAAGATTTCTTCTGACAAATACATGGAGATACTTTTAACCCAGGAAAGAGTGCTAGAGGAAGAAGAGACGGCCCCTTCCTCACAAACAGCAGGTAACTGCCAGCACCAAAATTCCCCAAGATACCTACTTGTGCATGTAGAAGAAGATATAACCGCTTCGGTCTCTGTCACACTGAACGGTGGCCTCCAGAGTTCTAGACACTTCCAGGTCATTGTAGGTGAACCAGGACTGCTTCTTGATATCATAGACATCACTGATATAATGACCTTAAAAACAGAGAACACACCTTTCTTTTCGTGCTCCAGTTCAACCAGTAAGCTGGTGAGCTATATACCCTGCTCCAGTGACCGGTGTCAGACTGAAATGCCAAAAACACCCTGAAGATTGTGGTTCCTCCATCCTTCCAAGTCAATGAGCTGGTACAAGCACAAGCAATTCTATGGACCTCCTAAGCAGCACCTCATGCACATACAAGCCACAACAGAAGACTTGTTTTGCTGCCTGAATTTTTCTCTGCAAATAATCCCACTACAGTAATTCTGTATTACAGATTTTTTAAAGGTAGAAAAAGATAAAATAATAAAATATTTTTTTTTTTACCTGAAGATGATGTGCTTCCGATATGGCTGACAATGCTGATGAGACGGTAGGAGTGAGGAAGCTCTCCTGTCTGAAAACAAAGTCCAATTAAAGCTTTTAGGCACTCACTTTTGTCCCACGTTGCTTATGGACAAGACGATTTATACCTGAGATAATGGCTTTGGCTGCTGTATTCCAAGCTGCAATCCGATCAAGGACCACAGAAACAGACACCCTGGCTCAGACCAAAGGAAGAGTCGTTCCAGAAGTGGGAAAAAGCCTCCCATCTTATTTAATCTTGCAGCAAGCCAATGAAAACGCAAAGGAGCCGCTCTGACCTCAGAACAGATGCTGACACGAGCTCTACCCTGCAAAGTTTTCTAAACAACCATTTCCTGAGCGACTTCCACTGATGTCAGAATTAATCCACCAAATAAACATAGAAAAGCAAAAAAGGCACACCACGCTTACTTCTGCCGTATCAAAGAAATACCCTTGATAATGGTATGCAGATTTAACAATTAATACTGGATATGAAGCCCAGATTCTCTTGTCCTGCACCTGTAATGTCAGCAGACAACGCATGCAGGAAACATGCTCGCCCTGTTCGCTGACAATAAAACTAAACAATGGTAAGTGACTTTTGACATTTTTTAATCCTGTGTGACCAGGAAACGTTACTGATACAATTCACTGAAAATACTCTTAAAATGTAATTCTTGGTTTAGCGGTATGGAAATTGGCAAGGAATTTTAAGGGGGAAAAAAAACCCAACCAAAACCTGCTCAAGGAAACTCCCAATTACTTAACTTTTTCTACTCTACACAGTATTCCTTCCACTGAGGCAAGCAGGCAGCTTTCACATTGCTGCTGCGTGGAGCGCTAGCAGCTGGCACTGCAGCCTCAGTTACATTTCACTTAATGGGAATAAGATCTTGTCACAACTTCTCAGTTCCGGTGGTGCAGGATCTAGAAGCCCATGGTGCTGCAATTAAACACCACGCTGGCTGGAGTCCTTTCTCTCTCTCTGTAAGTAAAAATTCCACAACAGGACTCTTAAGGATAGAAACTTTCTATCTTTTCACTTTTGAATATAAAAGACCCTTCTAGACCCTACACCTGCTCTGTAAAACTATCTCCGACACTAAACTGATGGTAAAGAAGGGGTATGTTTCTCAGCTGGCTTTTGAAACCATAGATCACACCTCAGCATTTCTTTTCAGTTCTTCTGCTTCGGCTTCTGAATACTCCATGTCAAGAACATCCTCATTTCCAGAGTCGTCATCAGAACCAACGCTGTCCAGGAGGGAGCTGTTAAACTCTAGATACGTGGAAACAACATGTGAGAAGTTGTGGCACACACAGGAATTCAAAACAGATTGAGGTATATCTACCCACATAAACAAGCACAATAAAACGCTAACGTTTCAAGCTTCCTTTCCCAGGAAAGCAGGAGATATTGGAATTTCCAAATAAAAACTCCCTCTTCCTTCCCCAACTTGTCAGAGCAATAGTTAAGAAGTGTCTCTTGGACTAGAGAATTAATTTTAGCATCATCTCTCTCACGCTTGTACAAAAGGGTGCTAAGGCAATGATAGCTGGGTGATAAAAGAGCATTTAAACACCCAGTTTGCTTCAGAGCACCGGTGGTCTGCAGCCAGAACCAGCATTAGAAGAAGTACAGCCAGTCTGGCCAGTGAACTGTAAGTTTCTGCAGGGAGAAGCTATGAATTACAGTTTTAACTATAAGTTGCATTAACAAAGTGCATTTTTCAATTAAAACTGGCATCAAAACGCTCCTGCTGGCAGCAGGCATCTTTTCATTGTTTTCAATGGTAAGAAGGCTGCTCACCGCAGGAACTTCCAGTTTGCTTGGCTGAGCAAAATGCAGGCAGCTTTCTGTAAAGAGCCGGAAGGCACCACTGCTCCCTGGACACGCTGTTCCAAACTTCCTGGGATTCTCCAGCTACCCCACTCGTTTAAGATTTTGTACAGTTCTCATTATGAGAAGTAGCTACGCTTTTCAGCAGCTAAATTAAAGCTATGAAGTCTTGTGCGGATGAGAAGTTGTGATTAGCAGGACACTGCTCAGAATACACACATATTTCTTTTTCTTTAAGAGACCACCACACCAGTTATGATGGAGATGTTTTGCCAAAGAGAGTCTCACACTGCTTGCCCTCTTCAATCATCAGACGCTGGATTAGTATAATCTTCCCGAGAAGATTATAGATGAATCCCTTTAACTTGAGAATATTTTACTGCTGGTTTCCACGTTTTGTTCAGGCTGTTGTAAGCTAGACTACAGCCAAAAAACGCAGCCACTTGGGTAGGTCTCTGCATGAAGCACTTGCTGTGGGTATTGCTAAATGCCACCTCACCAACGGTCCTTGGATGACTAGTGCTTCTCCGATTGCAGCACCACTGAGAACCTAAGACAAAGACTACCAGCTATACATTAAAGATTATTACTGTCTCCTTGAACAACTGCTGGCTGATGCCTTACAAATGACACAGTAGCAAGTTGAGGAGCACAAGGTAATGCTCATTTTTAAGTCAAGCGACTGCAAATCAGGAGGAGGAAGGACTTCCAGTGCTGAACTCTTCCCATCCATGAATCCAGGAAGACCTGAGAAGGACTGGGCACTCAGTCTGCCAGAGCTCATCAGGGGACAGGACTCGGGCTCAGGGATGTCTAAGTGGCATTTGACTTCTCTTCAGAAGCAGAAACAGGGTCATCCAGTAATACGTGAGGGCCTTTAAAGGTGCCTGAGCAACTATGAGTATCTTAACACAATACTTCATTACTCTTCTCTCTCCCTCTTTGGAGGAGGAATTTTCTCTGGGTTGTGCTTTGCTCTGCCAGGTTGTATGAAATCACTCGCATGCCAGCCTCACACAAACGTTAAACAGTGCCCGAGGCTCACCACACTGGCTGGATTTGGAGAAGACACTGTATTTTAGGTTTCTTTTTTCACCCCAACAGCTATAACTTGCAGCGAGGTCTGTCTCACTCCCAGCCTGTATCAGATTTACTCATTTTTCTGGGCAAGGCCAGTACATTCATTGATCAGCACTAAAATATCAATGGAAGTAAGAAAGAATCCTTACACTCTGACGAGAGCTATTAGCATCCTGGCTTTGGCTGGGAATGCAAAATATCAAGGTCCATTTTCCTATATATAATCCTCGAATTATACATAATACATGTAATATTACATAATATTACATATGTAATTACGTATGTGTCA